TCATTTCATTGGAGGCAGTTCAAAGAAGGTTCACTAGGATGATCCACAGCATGGAAGGATTATTTTATGAACAAAGCTAAACAGGTTGGGACAGCTCATTAGAATTTAAAAGCATGAAAGGTAATCTCATTGAAATATGTCAGATTCTCAAGGGTCTTGACAGGGTAAATGGTGAGAGAACATTTCCCCTCATGGGAGAGTCTGGGATTACAGGACATAATCTCAGAATAAAGGGGTGACATTTTAAGACTGAGATGAGGAGCAATTTCTTCTTTCAGAGGGTTAAGAGTCTTTGGAACTCTGCCACAGAGAACTGTGGGTGCAGAGACCTTGTGTAAAGCTGAAATTGATAAAGTGTTGATCAGTAGGGGAATCAAGGCTTCTGGGGAAAGGGCAGGAAAGTGGACAAGAGGAATGTTAGATCAACCGTGATCCTATTGATGATGGAGCAGGCTTGAGGGATCGAGCAGCCTACTCCTGTTTGTATTTCTTATGATCTTATGGATGTTGATTTTAGTTTGCATGCTACAGTACAAGTCTTAAAATATGAAATCATATCCTGTGATTCTTTACATTGTAAAGGAATATAAATTTGACCCTAACCAAAGGTTAGTGGTCTCTACAAGACTGTAACAATACCAGGAATCAAATGCAACTAAAAAGCAACCATGAATTTCAAGATGTGAAGGAATGAAATTGTCAGTCGTTCTGTTAGCAGAATAATCTCAAGGTTTCAAAAGCAATCAACAAAAAAGAATCATTTAGATTCACCAATTACAACATCATAATTTTTCCCTCATTTTGTTATTTAAAAAAAAAAATCTTGCATTCTGACCAGTAAATCACAATATATTTTTCTGTCTTATCAGCATGAAATACAAAGGAATACTAGCATACCATCTGGCTAATTAAATGTAGAGATCAGGAATGCAGTGCACCAAGGTGCAAGATATAATGAGTTCCTGAAGTTAGTTAACTAACCCATCAGGAGGCGATAATGAACAAAACATCAGATATAAGTAGTTATACTCTCTGTTCCCAGTTGGAATGCATATAGCTACAAGTGTGTTGGTTTTAAAATGTCTTCTAAGATAACTTGAGAGAACATTAAAATCATCTGTTGAGAAAAAAGGATGGATCAGCATGACTCTTGTTTAAATCACAAAACAGGAGACCCAGATTGTTTGGCTAAGCACAACATATACCAGTGTAACACTGATTTCTGCAATATCTATTTTATAAACTACATACTATACCTGACAAGATGATCAAATTTGTTACAATATAAGGCACCAACAACTTTTCTGAACAAATATTAAGCTTCAGATACTCACAGATTCCATAGTTTTGAACAAATAAACTTTACAAAATTAGAAAAGTAAAAGTACACACTAATATCTAGAATTAACATAAGGTGAATATGAATCAACAAATAAGCTGTGGCCCACCACCCCACATATTGAATACAACAAGCTGGCAAGACAGATCTCATTTTCCAGCAATCCATCCAGCCATTAGGGTGAGACTGAGTCACCAAATCTTATTTTAAAATAAACTTTGTCTCCTTCTCAACGGACTCCAACTTTTCACTCTTATGATCAAGTCTACAGACTTCCTCAAAACTGCTCCATCACAATTTGTCTCAACAGCTGGACCTATCTTGGTGATTCCATCTCCTCCCAAGATTGCATTCCCTGGAATTCCCAAGGACGCTTACAAACACATATTTCAACACATTTAAGTTTTTTACTGAGCTACCTTTATTGAGCTGGTGATGCATCTGGATTTCCAAAAGCTGCAAGACACAGCTCTTGGTCTTTTTTTCCCAGCTGAACAGGTCTGCTTCGAAGACTGCGTCCCACTGCTTTGGCAAGGTTATACTCCAATAACTAAACACAGAAAGAGTCCCAGCTTGTCAGCCACATTACTGCCAACAACTGCTCACCTCACAGATATGCAATCTTTTCTCCAAGATAACATTCCACCAGGCTTTACACAGCTGCACTGCACTATCTATTCACTGGTACAGTTTCAGCTATGCAACGAATCTCAGCATAGTCCCACTGCATACAGCCAGCTAACAGCAGCATTTTAACAATATGGAGTCACTTCCTCTCACTACATTCCACTGACAAACAAATTAACCCTAGAAGCAGGGTTCATTGACTTCAAAAGATTGAGTGACCTCTCAAAGACTCTGCAACAAGCCCTGCCCTTGCTTCTAGGCAGGTCCAAATGTAATCAGCATTAGAGTCATACAGCACAGAAAAAGATCCTTCAGTTCAACCCGACCATGTTTCCTAAACTGAACTAGTCCCATTTGCCTGGGGTTGGCCCATATCCCTCTAATCCGTTCCTATTCATGTACCTGTCCAAATGTTTTTTTGAATGTTGTAACTATACCTGCCTCTATCACCTCCTCTGACAGTTCATATGCTTACATGTTACCATCTCTACAATTCATCTTTTGCAGCACTAATCTATGTGATAAAGTTCATTTTCTGCAATCAAATAACACATCAGTTTTGCAAATGGCATCTTTTGGTTCATTGTGCCACTCAACAAAGTCAAGTATTTGGTTCAAATTCAGAAGTTGGAGAAACCCAGCTGTTCTGGTAGCACGTTATTTATTCATTTGTGGGATGTGGGTGTCACTGGCTAGCCAGCATTTCTTGCCCGTCCCCAGTTGCCCTTGAGAAGGTGGTGGTAAGCGGTCTTCTTCAACCACTGCAGTCCACCTGCTGTGGTTGACCCACAATGCCATTAGGGATGGAATTCCATGATTTTGACCCAGCGACAGCGAAGGAGCGGTGATATGTTTCCAAGTCAGAATGGTGAGCACTTGGAGGGGAACAGGAAGGTGGTGGTGTCCCCATATATCTGCTGCCCTCTTCCTTCTGGACGAAAGTGGTTGTGGGTTTGGAAGGTGCTGTCTGAGGATCTTTGGTGAATTTCTGCAGTGCATTTTGTAGATAGTACAGACTACTGCTACTGAGCATCGGCGGTGGAAGGAGTGGATACTGGTGGATGCAGTGCAAATCAAGCCAGCTGCTTTGTCCTGGATGGTGTCAAGCTTCGAGTGTTGTCGGAGCTGCACTCATCCAGGCAAAAGGAAGAAAGAAACCGAGTTAAGATTTCCAGTCTAACTATTCTAATCCCAGCACTTGGCCCATTGTCTTATGTGCCTTTGCATCGCAAGTACACATCTAAAAACCTCTTAAATGTTATGGAGGTTTCTAGCCTCTACCACACTTAAAGGTCCTGAGTTCCAGATTCTCAACATCCCTTCTAAACTTCCTGCCCCTTACCTTAAATCTATGATCTCAGTCATTGATCTTTCCACCAAGGGATTCCTTCCCGTATGCCCTATCTATGCTCCTTATAATTTAATGCATCTCAATCATGTCCCCACTCAGTCTCTTCTGCTCAAAGGAAAGTAACCTCAGTCTGTCCAATCTCTCTTCATAATCAAAACTCTCCAGCCCAGACAACATCCTGGTATATCTCTTCTGCACCCTCTCCAGTGTATGGTTGACCACAACTGTCAATCAAAACTAGATTTTAGAATTAAAAACCAAAAGAACCGCGGATGCTGTAAATCGGAAATAAAAACAGAAGTTGCTGGAAAAGTTCAGCAGGTCTGGCAGCATCTGTGAACTGCAATCAGAGTTAACGTTGCAGGTCTGGTGACCCTTTCTCAGAACTGATGATAGCTAGAGGAATGTTGACGTTTTCCTAACTACCATTAGTTCTGAGGGAGGGTCACCAGACCCAAAACGTTAACTCTGATTGCTCTTCACAGGTGCTGCCAGACCTGCGGAGCTTTTCCAGCAACTTAGGTTTTTAGATTTCAGAATTATCTAGGATAGCAGTAAGGGTGAGCAATTAACAGCCTAGTAAACAACCAAATAAGTGAATAAATGCAAAATACTGCCAATGCTGGAAATGTGAAACAAACACAACGACCTTAGCCAATTTCCTTTTGAAATCCACAACTGAATCTGAATTGAACTGAATCATCCACCAAACCCCAGCAGTTCACTGCAGATCCTAACAGCATGATGCAAGACAAGTGTTTTTTTTCTCATTTCACCATTTTTTTTTGCCATTCACATTAGATCAATGTTCTCCAATTCTCGATTCTTCCAACTGGGAAGACTTTTTTTCTCCCTATCTATTCTATTTAGACCAGTGCTTCCCAATCCATCCTCCTATATAAGCCCATTTTAATAACTGAAAAACTAATGAGACGCCAGAGACGAAATAAAAAGAATATAGCAATAAGACAGCATAGTAATAAATCAGTATATAATTGCTTAGGACAAGATGATAGATTCTGGAGTTCAACTGTGCATTAAATATACAAATGAGGTGCCATGCAACAGTACATGGAGGGGTACAGTGTACAGCAGTTACATAAAGCTTCAGGATTTGCACCACTATGGAGTCATTTAGATCTTAAACAAAAGTGATACCAGTAACAGAACATTAGCCACCCCCTGCATAAAAGGGCACCTTTGAAGACTCTGAGAAACAGATTAGGAAGACATCAGCTTCAATCCCTGTCTGAGAGTTAGTTGGTGATCAGAGCTGTGGCTGAAGCACCTGAGTTCATATAGAACAGGGGCAAAAACTAAGTCACACAGGTCATGTTTTCTGATTATTAGCATGACATAATGACCCACAAGTCATGGCTTGCTGATTTCACTCCCCACAGTCAAACAGCCTAGCAACAGCCATCATCATGGCACACATGAGCGTATTTACTTAGCTAATACAGTGAAAGATAGAAATAACAAAGAATTAAAAGTCTGCAGAGAAGGAAGAAATTTGTTGGAACAAGTGAAACAAACATCTTACCCATGCAGCTTGGTTAGTTCCACATTTGTTATGGGTCACAGAGTATTAGGACACATTGCTTCAACTTGCTCGCATTACTATCATACTTTGAAATCATGATTCTGTCTTTCACTGATACTGTCTTTTAAAAGGACACTAACCTTTTGCGTTTTACAGCTCCGGCTAACAGCTTTGCTTGAGAGAACTTGCTCTTGTTTTCTGCTGGTTTAGCAGCTTTCTTCTCAGTGTCTTTTTTAGATTCAGTATTTGCTGCAAGTTTTGTGCGAGCACTGTTAGTTCTCGGTTAAGGACCAAACAAATTCTTCAGTGTCTATTCTGGACGACAATTCGGGGAATTTCAAAAACCTATGCTCAAAAAGTTCAGAAGAAATTGGAACAACAGGATTTTCAGCCTTGAGGTAACCAAACATGGAAAAATAAAAGTCAGTACGCTATATAGAAATTCTAAGTCTGAAACTACTGCAAACAAAGACAAAGACAAAATAGGAACTAAAGCACAGGTTCCAACGAGTAAAAAGCACAAATTGAGGAACGGTCATCGCAACAAGATCATGAATACAAAATATTCTGGATGCTGAAAATCTGAAATGAAAGCAGAAAATACTAGAAGCAAGCAACAGGTCAGACAGTATCTGTGGCGTCAAAGGCAAGTTTGATACGCAGAATTAATGCCATTCTTGCCAAGGAGATTTTTGAGGTCAGGGATGTGAGGGATAGAGTAGCATATAATCAGGTCCAAGGGAGCAGGATACAGATCCAGCTGTTCTCCTCCAATCAAGTCTGGGGCTAGACGGCTTTACTCCACCGCCAATGGTATTCAATTAGTCGTAAGACTCAACATCCCATTTGAGTTTCCTATGGCAGATGGATGGGATGGGGTAGGATGGGGTGGGATGGGGGCCCGTGTGCTTCAGCATCTGTGCCTGAGCATCAGGAAGCAGGGATCCTACAAGAAGCCACCCTCTGCTGTCTTCCCCTTACCAGTGAACCCGACTGCCCATCCTCATGGGTGCTTAATCAGAGGTCCAAAACTGCCCAGATAAGTGCCTGACTGGAATGCAATAAATTTAGGCTTCCAGAGAAAAGTGATGTGGATCTCCCAATGACTCGCCAACTGGTAGATGCAACACATTTAATCTCAGCAAATGATAGCCTTTCATTAAAACTCAGTTTCTCTTTGCACAAATATTGGCCAGTTGAGTTTTTCTATTACTACACAGAATTGGCTTAAGTAAAGTCATCATCTCAGAAATATCCAGGCCACGCAGCTTATGATGTCTCTCAGCATGCAATAATGATTTGACACCAGTGCTGCCATTTAACACTGTTGCCAATGTCCTTGTTTAACCTCACACAGCTAAACATGTATCAAGAAGGATCAATCCATATCAACTGTCATAATCAATACTTTTTAAAGATGTCAACAACCACCAATAGATTTTTTTTTTCTTTATTTAGTCACAGAATGAGGGCATTACTGGCCAGGCAGCATTTATTGCCCATCCCTAATTGTCCAGAGGGCAGTTAAGAGTCAACCACACTGCTGGTGGGTCTGGACTCACATCTAGGCCAGACCAGGTAAGGATAGCAGTTTCCTTCCCTAAAAGAACATTAGTGAACCAGATGGGATTTTCCTGACAATCGACAAGGGATTCATGGTCATCATTAGACTCTAATTCCAGATCTTTATTTAATTCAAAATTCCACCGTCTGCCATGGTAGGATTCGAACCCGGGTCCCCAGAATATTATTAGAGGGTTAACAGTCCAGTGATAATTCCACTAGACCATCACCTCCACCTTAATTGGCTGTTAACAAGAGTGTACAGATGTTTGGTGCATTCCATAGTTCTTTCAAGTTCTAAAGTCAACAGGGAGTGGTGTAGCTGACAGTTAAAAGCCATTTTCCTTACTTGAAAGCTTCAATGTGAGACAGGTGATCAAAGATATGGTGATACAGTACAGTGTCTGAAGCTAGTGTTGCAATTGGGAGTACGTGGAATTTCAAAACGCATTTCCTGATCTTGTCAATTCTTTTGAGGTAATTGAACATCTTCACTGCAACATGAGCTTTGATGCTAGGCTCCTGGTACTGACCTTTGTGATTAATTGCTTTTTAAACAAAGCATCTAGACAACTGGAGATCTAGAGTATCGTTTTAACTTTCTACGTGTGTAGTGTCATTCTGCAGGCCATCTTCACTTCTGTTATACTTCATTGGGTAGCGCACTAGAAAGGAGGCCATGCTATTCCCAGAGTCATCATGAAAATTAAAGACTTCATAAAAGTTGCAAAGTCCAAAATTTACTTGTTAGATAAACTAAGTCAATGGAAAACAGGGACTATGTTTCTGTATTTACTATTTATCATAAGCTGATTGATTCCAACCACAGAAAAACATATATAACCTGTCAACCTACAACTTTACTAGTTAAAACTCTAATCTCCTTCTAAAATCGCACTACACACACATATTAACAGACAAAAATCATTGGTGTCATGGGCAAATGACAAAAAAACATATGGAGGAAACTGTTCAATAGCACCAGTCTCGGGATTCGATGGCAAGTTTCTTATTTTCAGAAGTCCTTCAGTTCTCTAATCTTTTCCTTCAGGTCTTTTCACTTCTTCACAGGAGGCACAGAGTGACTGGTTCACAAATTACAAAGTCTCCGATTTCTGGTTAAACACAACTGCTTACAGCAACAATTGGGAGAAAATAAACTGCCTTTCTTCATTCTATAGGTATCTTGCTGGAGAGAAAGGCACACCATCTCTCTTTCCGGCAGTTCGAAGGCTTCCACCAATATCGTTCACACTCGCAAGCTGTTCATCTACCCAGAAGCAATCAGGCTGATGGCCTTAGCATGCACAACTGGTGACAACTCTATAAACTAACCAGCAACTTACTGCCAGCCAAATCTCACTTTGTACACAGACCCCTGGAGCAGGGATGTCTATAAAAATCATTCCCAGTGCTTGAACAAAGCAGCAGTGTAAACACCACACAAAATGAGTTTCCATAACCAACTTTATAAAACTACAGCAATTCTTTCCTCAGTTCTTTGTTGTTAAACAGTCCTTTTCCCAATTCAGTCCACAAGCAAAACTAAAGTAAAATGAAACGTTACAGTCTTTACACTTTTGGCAAGATTCCAAGCATGTGCTCTAGCCACAAAACACCTGAGCACTAAAGAGATGCAGCGTAGTTTTCTGAAGTACCAGGCTAGTTTGATTTTATATCTTTTGCTGACACACTGCAGGCAATGAACAACACAATTCAGCAACCAAGTTATGACTGTGCCATCAAATGACACTTGCTCAGTAATAATCTGCTCAGTGACACTCAGTTTGGGTTCCCTGCTTGCCAGGCCACTCAGTTCCTGACCTCATTACAGCCTTTATTCAAACAGGGACAAAAAGCACTGAACTCTACAAGTAAAGTGAGAATGACTGCCATTGATATCAGGGTAGCTTTCAACCAAGTAAAACATCAGGGAGGCCTAATAAAACTGGAGTCAATACAGATCGGGGGAGCCTTCATTTCACAAAATTCACTTCTTTTGTGTAAATGAGATGATAAAATCCCTACTTCAAGTTTTCTCAATGGTTGAATGGGGTTGCATAAAACGTGCAGCAGAAAGATAGGCCATTTGAACCACCTGTTTCACATTGGCAGGTCCACCCCAAATAAATCCTCATTAAATCCCATCAACAAATACTTCTTTATTCCTTTCCCTCTCATGGGTTTAACAAGCTTCAATTTTAAATATCCCTATGCCATTTGAGACAACTACTTGTGTTAGCAAGTTCTACTTTTCTCCCATTCACTATATAAATAAGTTTCTTCGGTGTTTCCTATTGGACTATCTTTTATTATGTCACAAGTTTTGTTCTCACCTACAATTGGAAATTTCTTCTCACCCCTCATTCTGGTTCCAATCTGCATTTTATTGGTTATTTCCAGATCCGCTCTAGTGAAAATCTCCAGATTCTTCTCTTTTACATCTTGTGACTATACCCAAGATTGAGAACAAAGCTGAAGGATTTGTTGTAGAGTCACCAGAGGCAATTCACTGACACATCATGTAACTGGCAGCTGCTCCCACCGTTGCTAAATGACAAACTTCCCTCAGTATTTTGGAAACAGTTCAGAACTACAAAAAACTTAATTCTGTTTCGTTTTACCATCAGGTTTCTATGCCTGTTTATTATCCAACAGCTAACCACTAAGGGGCCACATGCATGAACACGGCATAAGTAGGCAAACAAATGGCTGCATAATTACAACATCAGTCCACTCATCAGTCCACAAAGGACATGTTGCATTTGTTTGAGAGATAGGTTGGTTACCAGGCTTTTGCATCAGGTTATTTTATATTATTTTATAAATTGATACCTTAACTTGGGCTGAATGACACAATTTAAAATGAAACACAAAACCTACTGTTCAGCAGATATTACAGACTATACAATGAGAACCAGAGTAAACCTTCATATAGGTCAACAGCACCAAAGATTAAAATTGATTTCCCTTGTTCCTTTTTCTCCAAGTCTATGCAATTAAGTAATATATTCTGTTCATCATCCTCAAGTAATTAAATTCTTCACAACTCAATACAATTAATATATCATTAAATTAACCAATACAAGACAGAGAATGCAATAAAATGTATTGACTAGATAGTCTGAACCACTAAGATTTTGAAAAGGTTCTATATTAGTTATCTAAATATGGCAGGTCCTCAACAGACTTTACTCTCAACAACAGGCAGCTCAAGTAAACAACATATAAAATTCAGAATATTAGGGTCATTCATTTTAATTTAAAGAAAGTATGCTTTGCTTAAAAAATTAATTTCTCCTTATTTCCTCAGGGAAGTTTATTAAAGCTGTTCAAACCTCGTTTCATCACTCCTCGTAAGCCCTTTGAAGTCAAGATCAGTAAACTGGCCACCTTCCATCCAAATGAAGCTATCCATCTTTTTGATATGATGTGTTATGCTTTGAAACTGTTAAGAGACCCATCAGCAGTCAGATCATAGAACAGGAGAATGGTGGTACTTCAACCACCTGATGCAGAAAGGAGATTGCTTCTTTCCTGATAAAATAACCTGTCAGCAACTCCCCAGTCACTCTCCTTCAAGAGGGACACACACTAATCGGCAATGATAGCCCAGACTGGCTCACTATGGATCTTCAGGTGACAGGCTTACTGCATATATAGAAAGTTTTGCTATGAACACGATGAAACAGAGGGGAAAATCACAGAAATGAATGAGAACACAGCAGGAGAGTGGGAGGAAAAGATGAAAATAAAAGAGAAAAGAAACAGTGAAGCTGTGAGAAGGGGAAAAGTGAAGATCAATGAAAATAAAACAAGCAAAACAAAACTAGGGATCAGAATGGGTGGACTGGCATCAGAGAACCAGAGCATGCAACAGGACCAATACCAAGAAAGAAAATATTCCAGGGGAAACAGAAGACTATTCTAAAACACTCAAGACAGAGGGAAGAGAGCAAGAAAGCGTGATATGTACAGGATAATTTCTGCAAAAATTTGAATGCACTCTGTGGCTTTGTGGCTTAATGGCTTAATGGCTTCCAACACAAATTAGAAGGAAAGAAGTGCAAATCAGATGAAATAAAAAATAGACAGTGCACATTGAGGGCAAGCGTTAAACAAAGGGCTTACATGAAGTACAAAGCAGATAGAGAGGACAATAAAAGAATGTCAAAGAGACAGACTACATATAAGCAAAAGAAAATTGATGTAAGCAATTAGATAATGAAATGCAGAAGGTGTGACTTGAATAAACTACACAAGAAAAGGACAACTAGTAAACTCAGAGATTGTAAGAACTGCCGATGCTGGAGTCAAAAATAGCACAGTGTGGAGCTGGAGCAACACAGTAGGCCAGGCAGCGTCAGAGGAGTAGGAATGTTGACGTTTCAGGTCCCAACTTTCCTACTCCTCTAATGCTGCCTGGCCTGCTGTGTTCCGACAACTAGTAAACCGTTGGTGGACTATATTCATTACACGAGTACTCGCCGAATTTACTGCCTAACTTATTAAAATAACAACCCAATTTTACTGATGAAGCTAGAAACAAAACTAGCAATTGGCAAAGCAAACCTGGAAAAAAAAAGAAAGGGAGTCATTGGAGTCAAATAACCAGAAGGAAAATAAATGTCAAAGTCATATATCATTAAATTGGATTTGCAACAGAAGAGTTTTAAGCTTTATGACGAGATCAGACACTAACTTCGTACGTCATTGCATTCAGGATTCAATTGGGGCTCAACAAAAGGATATTCTATATTCTTTCAACTCTTTAGCATCTTCGTCCCTGCGTTGCTTCTCTAAGAGCACCTGTTGCCTAGAAACTTCATCAAGGTAGTTTGTTTCATCCTCATCGAGGCCTCTTACCATATTTTCTGTAAAATACATTAAAACATATTAATAGAACGTAAAATCAACTCAGGTTTTTCTGAAGGCTTATTCACAAATTATTCCACAGACACAATAAACAGAGATGCTTTTAGAACATAAGGTTAATATGATCAGCTCTTTTACTTTGGCCCATACAATGAAATAAATACATGAAAATATCAACTAAAAACCAAAAGGACTGCGGATGCTGTAAATCAGGAGCAAAAACAGCAGGTCTGGCAGAATCTGTGAAGGAGAAAACAGAGTTAATGTTTCAGGTCCGCTGACCCTTCCTCAGAACTGAGGAAGTTCTGAGGAATGGTCACCAGACCCGAAACAATAACTCAGAAAATATCAATTACTTTCATACTACACACCAAAAATATATGCACACACACTCACATTGCATCTAAATAAATGACATAAAAATTACTGAAATGTTTCAGCAATCTTTCTCAGGAGAAACACAAGCATTTAAATGCATCTGCTTCGCCCATGCCATTGCTGATATCCACTAGGTACAGTGCAGTCATGAAAGTATATTCAGATATGCCGGTGAAAGATCCTTCATTATATTCTACTTCTTACAACAGCCATTTTGACAAATCCTAGAAGCAAAAGTACTTTTTAAATTCAACATGAGAAGTAATATTTTCATGGATTTGACAATTTCCCACGAACTCCTTCTCCAATTGTTGGTGCATCGAGGGTGACAGTTCTGCTGCAAAGGAACTGAAGAGGTAATCATATAGTAATAATCAAATGGATTCCAAGATTCAGCAAAAGAAACTGCATTTGAAGCTGAAACAAAGCTGTTGAGGTCAGGCTTCATCACGATAAAAGATACCAGTAAATTACATTAGCTAACTGGGAATAAAGCACTGAAATAATAATGATGCAGATTGAAAATGCATTTAATCAAGATATCCCGAGTATAATAATTTTTCAAGTTTTAATCATAAGTACTTAACTTGGATATTCAGCATGTGGGGGGGGGGGGGGGAAGATTTCTGCAACACCTTAACCACTTTTCTTTTCACCCATGAGGTGCTCAGGGTGTTCACTGTATTATTCTGACCTCACAATCTGATTGGCAGTTTAAAGGGGCTATTAAAGAATTTGCTATCTTTGATGTGAGATGCAAACATAAGGCTCTTTCTTAAATGAGCATAACCATAATGAACTTTAATGGCTTTGAATGGGTTTTATGGATAGAAGCTTTTTATTTCCAAGATACTGAAAAAGCTTGACAATATTATTGGGGAATCTCAGATACAAGGGTACAGTTTCAGGGTAAGAGATCAATCATTTCAGACCGAGGTGAGAAATTTCTTCACTCAGTGGTTTGTGCATCTTTGGAATTTTCTACCTCAGAGGTTTGCAGATGTTTCACGACGGAGTACATTCAATGCTGAAATTGATAGATTTTTGGTGGTTCAAGGAATGAAGGGACATGGGACCAAGTAGGAAAAATGAAGTTGAGGCAGATTAGCCATATCAGATTGAATGGCAGAGCAGCCTAAAGGGGTCATATGATCTACAACAGCTCCAACTTTTTATGTTCTCATGCTCCAGTTATATTGAGGATTGGTTACAGAAATTGACACTTAACATTTTTAAGCATAAGTCTCAATGAGTCAATGTGAAGGCATCATCTTACTGAATTTAAACTGCTCCTCGAATTCAGCTTGTTTCTTATCCTTCTGCTCTTGAAGCCTTTCATATAATGATCGAGGATCATAGACCTGCTCTGGGCATTCTGCAAAAGAATAAAGGGAACATGTATGACAATGGATAGTGCTGAGAGTTTGCTAACCTTTTACAGTATATCTAGTTGTGTTGCAATTGTTTGTGTACTAAAAATAAAATAATTCAGCTTTTATGCATTGTACAAGGAGAAAGCAAAGTCATAGTGGTAGTGTCACTGGACTAGTAATCTGCAATCCCAGGTTCATGTTCTGAGAATATGGTTTTGAATCCCACCATGGCAGATAGTGAAATTTGAATTCAATTTTTAAAAAAAAAATCCTGGAATTAAAAAAAGACCTAATTACAACAATGTGACCATTTTAACAATTGTTGTTAAAAAAAAATCTAGTTCATTTATGTCCTTTAGGGAAGGAAATCTGCCCTCCTTACCTGACCTGGCCTACATGTGGCTCTATACCCACAGCAATGTGGGTGACTCTTAACTGCCCTCCGGCAAATTAGGGATGGGCAATAAACGGTAGCCTAGCCAGCGATGCCAACCTACCATGAATTTTTTTTTCAAATTGTTGTAAATTCTAATCCGTATTATATAAAACAGAATGCATCACGCGATATTTCGATTCTGAGAATTCGAGGATTTTCAGCTGGACTTTGCAATCAGTGGCCAAGTAATCACAGTCTCGCATTTCTATGACAAGATTTCCTTTGTTTCTAGCACCAAGCCAAGGAGGCCGTGATGAATCTAGCAGCAGTGATGTCATCAGCCAAGACAAGCAGCCAATTGCATTGAAGCAATGGCACAGACTGCATACCCGGAAGTAAAATGCACTGTTATTCTTTGCTTTTATTTAGATTTTATCAACTATGATATAAACAGGTGAGGCATGCGCACAGCATTAACACAAAAGACTGCATATGGTACTTTGTTTCAAAAATGTGGAATCCCTTAAATGAAAGAATTTAGCATCAAACCTCCATAAAATTAATTTTGAGCACATTGAGGAATTTAACAGTACCCATTAAAATCTCAATTATACTTCATTCAACAGGATGTGCCTTTTTCATGTGTTTTTACAGCAAATCTGAATGCAAAAGGTAGAAGTTCATATCAGTTCTTAGATTTCCATTCAATGGCAGTTGGAGTGCCTCAATAGCACACTCTCTGGAAAAACACGGAGTTACTAATAGCACCTTCTGGTTTTCCAAGCTAATTTGCTTATTTGCACATGTGTCATATCCAGATGTTGCTTTCAGTTTCAAAAAAAGTAATGACGGTACAAGCATAGCCAATTTTACTGCCACTACTTCCGCAAAAACCAGGCCTTCACTTCAAGCAGTAAATTAGATGTCATTACCTATTGCCAAAAAAGTTGAGCTCCAATTCCCAGACATCATGCTAAAAAAGGGTTAGTTGGTCAAGTTGCACCTCTGTAGAGCTGGACAAATTTCCCACAGATTTTTAGACAGATGGTGCTTACTCAGTAAAAACATTTGATACAGTCTAAATGCAGTACAATGTTGACAAAAACTAGGCTACTAACCATAAGGACTAACAAAATAATTCCTTTTACCTTTCTAAGTATCAGTTCAGCTCAGATCATTGCACTCTCAGAAGGATTTGAATGCAAACTTTCAGCAAAGGAGTGCTGCACTGTTTGAGTCAGTGTCTTTTGGCTGACATGTTAAAACAAAGGCCCATTTATCTGTTGAATTAGATGGAGGTTCCTGTGCCAGTAATAGAATTTTAACAGAAACTTACATGAATGCCCTCCCTTCAACAAAAATAATCATCTGGTTGTGCAGTCATTTCTATTAAGGATCCTATGCACAGATTAGCAATCACTTCTTCCCTACATTACAGTGACTACACTTCATCTTGAGAATGTGATATCACACTGCATAAATGCAAATTCTGATAATTTTGAAAGGCAGAACAAGAACTCATTAATTATAAATCTATAAGTGGAATGTCAAAAAAACGACACAGATAGATTTGTCTAAGAATAGCAAATTTTATGAAGAAAATATTGCATCTTAATCATGCCCTTTTGATTTTATCCTGGTAATACACAAGGTGATAGATATTGCTCTCAGCTTTTCCTTTCCTTGAATTGTTCTATTCACAGAATGTTAATTTGCATTGCCTGTCCTATAATACTAGTTTAAAATAGTTATGTTTAAGTTGAAGCCCATTTTTCTTCAAAATTTGCTCCAGATTACCAATACACATTGAAAGTGATCCATCTTCAAAGAGTACAACTGGCTCATATTTTATGATCACATAGTTTTGCAGCAGCAATAATATCTTCAAACAACAAAAGTCAAAGTCACTTAACACTGCCAAGTGAAATTCTTTCAGTTACCAACTGTCAAGGTTCCCTCATGAGAAAATTAAACTTTGATTGGTCCAAGGCTACTTACACAGCACAGCCTTGTGACCTCAAAAGTGACAGAAATTCTACTTTGGTAACAGAATAATACATTATTCATTACAGGGCACAAAGCACTCGCACCTTAAATACTATTGTGCTTCGAGATGGCCAAGTACAAATACAAGGAGTGATGGAAGAACCCAGCAAATACGTTGTAAGTCTGTCATAAAACTGATATTTCCACACAGGCAGAACTTATTTCAATAGAATCCCCACCCAAGCTAATTTTTCACAGGACTCCATTTTCCACGAAATATTTACGAATGATGCAAAAACCCGAATCCTAACTGAAATTCTTGCTTTCCATTCCCTGAAACTCAGCTAAGATGCAATTAGAATGCCTGAGATGAAGACAGTAGAAACTCCATGTCCTTTCCTGGCTTTTACACAAAGCAATAAGCATCAGAATTCATTGGTGCTAGGGATAACAAGGTGTAGAGCTGGATGACCACAGCAGGCCAAGCAGCATCACAGGAGCAGGAAGGCTGACATTTCAGGCTTAGAACCTTCTTCAGAAATGGGGGAGGGGAAGGGGATTCTGAAAAAATACGGAGAGAGGGGGAGGCGGATAGAAGATGGATAGAGGAGAAGATAGGTGGAGAGGAGACAGACAGGTCAAAGAGGTGGGGATGGAGCCAGTAAAGGTGAGAGTGTAGGTGGGGAGTTAGGGAGGATGGACAGGTCAAGGAGGTGGGATGAGGTTAGTCGGTAGGAGATGGGGGTGGGGCTTGAGGTGGGAGGAAGGACAGGTTAGGGAGGCGGGGACAAGCTGGGCTGGTTTTGGGATTCGGTAGGGGGAGGGGAGATTTTAAAGGTTGTGAAGTCCACATTGATACCATTGAGCTGCAGGGTTCCCAAGCGGAATATGAGTTGCTGTTCCTGCAACCTTCAGGTGGCATCGTTGTGGCATTGCAGGAGGCCCAGGATGGACATGTCATCTGAGGAATGGGAGGGGGAGTTGAAATGGTTCGCGACTGGGAGGTGCAGTTGTTTAGTGCGAACCGAGTGTAGGTGTCCTGCAAAGCGGTCCCCAAGCCTCCGCTTGGTTTCCCCGATGTAGAGGAGGCCACAACAGGAACAGCGGATACAGTATACCACATTAGCAGATGTGCAGGTGAACATCTGCTTGATGTGGAAAGTCTTCTTGGGGCCTGGGATGGGGGTGAGGGGGGAGGTGTAGGGGCAGGTGTAGCACTTCCTGCGGTTGCAGGGAAAAGTGCCGGGAGTGGTGGGGCTGGAGGGGTGTGTGGAGCGGACAAGGGAGTCACGGAGAGAGTGGTCCCTCCGGAAGGCAGATATGGGTGGGGAGGGAAAAATGTCTTTGGTGGTGGGGTCGGATTGCAGATGGCGGAAGTGTCGGAGAATGATGCGTTGGATCTGGAAGTTGGTGGGGTGGTACGTGAGGACGAGGGGGATTCTGTTTTGGTTGTTATTGCGGGGAAGGGGTGTGAGGGATGAGTTGCAGGAAATGTGGGAGACACGGTCGAGGGCGTTCTCGACCACTGTTGGGGGGGGTGGTGATGTTGCGGTCCTTGAAAAACGAGGACATCTGAGATGGTGCATTTCTTTCCCTGTAACTTTTCAGTAACACTATTTCATTAGTCATTATTAATTACCTTTTGACACAGGTTTGGTCACCTTGCCCATCTTTCATATGATATTCATACACTGTGTTGAGTTTGCACTGTTTGTTATAAATCCTCAGGTTGTATTATGCGAGACAAGTAGGTGACAGTCAGTACACATGCTGAGCTAGTCACCTTTTCAACATGAGAATTAAGAAGGAATTTGCATTCTCCTCCACTTGACCGGTTGTGCTGACTGGATTCCCTTTACTGCTGCTGCATGACTGCCTTCAGTGAGGCTCCCTCATTGAGGTTCTGATGGACTGACATTTCCACAGTTTCTAGTGGATGTTGCACATCACCTATTCAGAGCGGTATGTGCTTCATCACAGACTGGGCACTTTCGGGCACAATAACAGCAACTGTGCTAAACTGTTTTTCACAATGGATTCTCCGTCTCTAGGGACGGGCCTGGGGCTAGAAAAGAAGATTGCAAATCCAGTCAAGGTGTTTGCCTTGTCCCAGTGGATAAATAGAGAATCAAAACTCCTCCCCAAGAGACCCCTTTTGGCACATTCCTTCCAGCATTGGGATTGATGCAAGGGATTGCAGTATATGCAGCCTCCTGGCCGTCCCCGTGATTGGGTGCAGCGGTGTCAGCAACGACACGGCTCCTTTCAGCATTTGGGGGCGGCGGTGGCAGCAAAGCTTCACCGGGCAATCAGAAACGGCGGCAGCATCATCATCATCAACCAGAACGGAGCTCCTCCCAGCGATCAACTCGAGAATCACAGGCTGACTGAAACTTCAGGGTGTGGCTAGGCCCAGGTGCCCACACCAGTGGCTGAGCGTTCCAAACACTTATACAGTGATAAGACTTTGTAATTCGGAGATCTGGACATTTTCTTGCCTTGTGGCTCTTTCTTTTTATTCTTTGTCTGTTTTTTTTAAAAAAATTCTGGTTTTGTAACCAAGATGGCGCCAGATAGTGGGGACTTTGTACACTTTTTCACTGTTCTCATGTGTTCCTATACTTGAGTATACATGACAAC